TCCCTCTTCCTCTCAGTGTTTTTGTGCATGTCTGATATGATCTGCTCTCCTGTTTTCTACCTCCATCTACTACGCTGAGTGAAAGCTTTTTGCTCTGCTCTTTTGCTCACGTGTGTGGTTCCTTCTGCGATGTGTTGCTTCTGCTCTCCCTCCCTCCCCCTCTTATTTCTCTCTTCTCTTTATCTATGCTGATTGAAAGGCCTTTAGGGCCTGCTCTTATCTTCTCCGCTCTATTCTTGGCTAGACTAAACGCAAGGATAAAAAAGGGTAAGTGAAACGCTGCAGGGGTGCAGCATTTTACTTCCCTTATTTTTTAATTTATTTTATATTTTTTTGTTGTTTTTTTAATTAATTTCTAAATTTAGATTAAAAAAATTAATTTTGAATTAAACAAGAACACCTCTTCTTCTTTTTAAGTTAACTCTCACAAATTGACACCCAATATTTTGAATTATTGAAAGATTTTTTCAAAGATTTAAGCAAGATTTTTTTTTAAAAAAAGTATAATCCTAAAAAGGGTCAAATTTCATTTTTGTATATATATATATATATATATTAGTTATTTTAGTGAACTAAAAGAGATAAAATCCTAGTTATAAGATTAAGTTCTATTAATAAAATTTTTATTTTAAAAATATAATATTAAGAAAGATCAAATTTTATTTTTGTATTTATATATATATATATATATATATTTTTTGGGTTAAATTTATTATTATTTTTATTAAATGTAAAATATGCTCATATAAAATATAGTGTTCACTTAGAAATTGAATATTCTTATTGTAAAGCATCCCATCTTAACTTACTTTTGTGTATTTATGAAGATATTGCCAACTAGGAATGCATTTTTTAGTATACTTGCTCTATAGATATTTTCATAGTTTGATGTTGTATTTTAGGTCCTAGAAATGTTTATCTGCAATGTAATTATTCTTAATAGGGCCAAAATACTAGTGTAAGTGTAGAAATGTTGTAATGTTATAACTTTGGAATTATTTAATTGAATGTAGTGCTAGACTTCCCCATATTGTTTTTGGTATTAAGGAGTTGAGGATTGAAAATGATATTTTATTGTTATTATGTGCATGTTGTGTGTTGTATAGGTAGTCCTCAGTTTATAGATTTTGACACAACTGTTAGGTTTTGGACACCCTAGTGATGTAAAAAGTATAGTAAATGTGTTTGGATGTTCAACTCTTTTGTGTAAAATCTTTTAGGAGAAAAACCCATGTCATTACCTAGTTTATATAAAATGTTTTATATAGACACCTAAATCATCTAGATTGGATATCTGATTGAGAAATGAGGAGCATCAAAAATTGCCTCGAGATGCCATCATATGAAAGCAAAAAGTTGTTGAATTCTATGTAGCATAAAGGAGAATAAGCCACGGCACATATGCACATGTTGTAGCGCAGTCCTCTATTTTCACTCCCACTTGATGTTTTTTAACTATTTTTTTTACTACCAAATGGTATCTCATGCTTCCATAATTATTTATACTTCATTTTTTTACTTCACATAGTTATATTTGATTTGTTTCATAAAGTTTAAACTTGAGATCTCAATTATTAAAGGAAATACTTTTAAATAGTTAACCATAGTTGGGTAATTCTCTTAGGTTAATTCCAATTATTACTAGTGTTGTGTTTGGTTGAGTGTTGGATTGGTAGGGGTATCTTTACATATATGCACCAAACCACCCACTTCGACAAGAGATGCATGAGGCTAGACATCTCCTCTCCTTGATTAGGGATGTACATGCCCGCTTCTATAATAGAGAGACCAATCATGTGGGAGATTATCTTGCAAAGGAAGCTCGCAATGTGTTAATTTGATTGTTTTGTTTTATTGAACACACCTTTTCTGGGTTGTCGTGGCTTCTATAATGCAATTATGAATAGAAGTGTTTAATTTGTGCTGCTTGTTTTGTTTTTTTTAGGTTTTTTTCAAGCTTAGGCTTGTCTTATAATTTCAAAAAAGAAATAACTTTAGTATCTTGTTATTTATATGTAATTTAGAGGACCTAATTGATATTAATTTTTTAAAGGGTATCTATATATAATTTTATGGGTTCTTTTCTTTAAGTTTTTTGGTCTTTTTTTTTTTTTGGTATTCTTACCATATGCCTTTGAGTAAAAAGTTGAGGGGCAAAAATATTCTTTAATTCTAAAACTAATATCAAGATAAAAAGAAATTATTTTAAACATCATATATCCTTAATAATTACCAATTCTTACATAATATTTAAATAAAAAAAATTTTAAAATTTAGATAATAATATAAAATAAATAAAAAAAATTGCATAGTTCAAACTCGACAGTGATGGCCCTTGCCCGGCGACGAACAACCTAGTGACTCGTGTAGAGCCGGGTTCATTAGACTTTGGAACGCTTGGACATCTCTAATCCTCTATGTGTGTGTGTGTGTGTTTTTTTTTTTTTTTGACGAACTAATCCAGTGTGTGTTTACCAAAATTTTTCCACTTCAAAAGCCAACCGTGAATTTGATCAACATAATTAGCAGGTATGACCACCTGGAAGGAATACCCATTATTGTGTGACCAATTTTGAAGGTTTTGCCCATTTGAAGGGGGGAGGGTATTCTTGAAAGAGGACCACGCTGAATTTGGACGCTAAGTTCACCTTAAAACTGTTTTAGTCTTAAATTCATACAATGGAAGTTGCATTTCCAAGTTTGGCCGAAAAAAAGAAAATGAAAGTTGGAAAATGAAACCACCGTTAATATAACTAGTAAGGAAAATATCAATGTAAAACTTTTAAATGTTAATAAAATATATTTAAATATTAATAATCCAGTTCTACATGACCCAGTGTGTGTGTGTGCGTTTTTTTTTTTTTTTGGTGAACTAATCAAGTGTGTGTTTACCAAGTCTTTCCACTTCAAAAGCCAATCGTGGATTTGATCAACATAACTTGCAGGTATGAGACAGGAGTGGGTGAGATAATCATTGATCACTTGGAAGGAATACCCATTACCGTGTGACCAATTTTGAAGGTTTTGCCCGTTTGAAGGGGGGAAGGGTATTCTTGGAAGAGGACCGCGTTGAAAGTGGACGCCAAGTTTAGTCTTAAATTCATACAATGAAAGTTGGATTTCCAAGTTTGGGCAGAAAAAAGGAAATGAAAGTTGGATTTCCAAAGTGTCTCGTCAATACTTTAATGATAAAACCACCATTAATATCATTAATAAAGAAAATATCGATTTAAAAGTTTTAAATGTTCATAAAATATACGTAAATATTAATAAATTAATTTTATTTTTTGAAAAAAAATTAATAATTGAAACAAAAATTATTATTTGAAATTAACAGTATTAGGATTAAAAGATTAAACACATACTTTTATAAAATAAAAGGATTAAACTAACAATTAATACAAAGTTAAAAGTACCAAAAATATATTTTTGTAGGAATAGAAATAAGATTTTTAATTATGTCATTTTATTAAATAAATAAAAGTAAACATAAAAAGAATAGGTAATTTTAAATGCCATTGATTTTTTTTTTGATAAGCTAATGCCATTGTTTAATTTATTAGAAGATGTAAATTACTCCCCCCCAATTCAAAATAAGCCTTTTTTTTTCTCACCTAACATTGAGACAAAATATAAGAAGTTTAGTATTATTTAAATTTTTTTCTATTTTAACCTTATATTTATTAACCTAATTTATTATATAGCACGAGAATTTATCATATCATTCTCAATCTACTGGTCAGTTTTATATCATGTTGGGACTAAAAGTAAAAAAGAAAAAGAAAATATAATATAACTAATTTCAATGAAATGCGAATTACAGTTTATAATTTGGATTGAAAAAAAGTAATTAAAAGTAATTTAAGAGTTTATTAATAGAGTAGAGTTATCAAATTTTTGACTATCCTTAAGAGCCTTATCTTTTGTTGGGATAGCAAAGTAAATAAGGTTAATATTTACACGAATTCCTTCAAGTTTTATCACTTATTCAAAGTAGTTTTATCTAAAACCTTCCTCTTTCTAATATTATATGAATAAGATTAAGGATGTTATTATGGTAGATTGGATGATAATTTTCAATCAAATTCAATAAATATATTGATTGGTTTGTTTACGAGGTATGGTGAGGAAATTCACACTAAATTATTGTTGGTTTATTTGTGGGGGTATAAAATGTCTTGAACCTTGACGTGACTTATTGTAGTTTAAGGGAGTGAGTGTTTGAAAAACACGCTTTATGTAGTCAATTGATAGGGTCGTGATTGCTTTCCAAATCTTTTTTTTTTTAAATAAAACTTTCTAGATCAATTCAAAGACGACTGAAGAATATATTAGTGAACACTGAAGTCATTAATCCCCCAAAAAACCACAATCTAATGTTTTTTTTTAAGTGTTTGAAATCGATTCAACAAATCAAAATACCTTATTACATCTTTTAAAAACTAATAAAAAAGTAAAGATTAAAAGTAAACTTGTTTTATTTCAATATAATGTTTTCATTAACTAAAAAATTATAATGATAATTGCTTCTTTGTAAAACTCTAAGATTTAGCAAATGAATAGCAGCCATATATCATTTGAATGGATGTTATATCCTAATCTAACAAATGAACGGAATGAACGGTTAGAAATTGTTAATAGTTGGATAAGCATAGCCAGCTTCATTTTCAACAACATTTTAAAAACAATGGAAGCACAAATTTTTAGAGCCTTTTTCTTTCTTTGATTTTTTTTCCCCCCAAGCGAGCATGATAATCCATCGAGGATAGATATTATCGCTCTCAAGGTATTGAAAGTAAAAGATATACCTCATTTTCTCCTAATTAACTTGTTATATACAAGGGTTTGAATTCAAACTCCCAATTACTTATTTAAGTAATAAAAATTCTTATCATTTATATCAATTTTAATTGAATAGAGTGATCAATTAAGTAGTATGGCTTTATGAGGAAAAATAAAAATTTTAATTTGTTGCTTGACTTGGACTTTTAGTTGAGAGGTTACTACCCATCGTCATACCTATTTGCTTAACCCCAATTATTCATGGATGGCTTGGCTTTATCAGCATCTGGTGCTTATATCAAGGAACGCTTGTGACTCCAATTTCATATCAAATGGCTTTTGAGAAGCTATGCCTAATCTTCTTGCTGTTTCTCTTACTTGCCTTGCTTTCACATTCTGTAGTCTCTCAATCTTCTAAGAATATATCTTTGGGCACTTCCATCACTGCAGTGGAAAAAGGCTCCTTCTGGGCCTCACCATCTGGTGAATTTGCATTTGGTTTCCAACAAATTCAGAAAGATGGGTTTTTACTAGCCATTTGGTTCAACAAAATACAAGAAAAAACTATTGTCTGGTCAGCTAATGGACAAAATCTTGCTCCAAATGGTTCCAAAGTTGTGCTTTCCACAGATGGTTCTTTCCAGCTCGTTGATCCCACTGGTAAGCAAATTTGGATTGCTAGCCCTATAGGAAATGGAGTTTCTTATGCTGCCATGCTTGATTCTGGTAACTTTGTGCTAGTTGGTCAAGGATCTCAAAATTGGTGGCAAAGCTTTGATCATCCCACTGACACAATTTTACCAGGACAGATTTTGCATCAACCTGCTCAACTTGTTTCACACTATTTGCCAAATAACTATTCAAAGGGGAGATTTCTGTTTGCACTTCAGGATGATGGGAATTTTGTGCTTTACACAACAAATTACCCAACGGATTCTGTAAATTATGCTTATTGGACTACCCAGGTTTTTGGCAGTGACTTCTCAGTGGTCTTCAACCAATCCGGTTCTATATTTGTTCAAAGAAGTAATAAAAGTATAATCCAAACAATATCATCTCTGAAGGACATCTCTGCACAAAATTTTTACCAGAGAGCTATTCTTGATTATGATGGAGTCTTTCGGCACTACATCTATCCCAAGGATAGTAAATACAGCACAAGAAATCATCCTATGGCTTGGTCAATTCAGTCTGTGACACCTTCAAATATTTGTTTGAGAATTAGTGGACCTATAGGAGGTGGAGCTTGCGGACCCAACAGCTACTGTAACTTTGATGGTAAGATGAAAAGTTGCAATTGCCCAGCTGGTTACAGCTTCATTGATCCAAATGATGTGATGAAAGGATGCAAACAGAACTTTGTTCTACAAAGTTGTGATGAAGCTTCTTCACAAGCACATCTCTTTTATTTCAATGAGATGCTACATATTGATTGGCCAAACACTGACTACGAATACTTCAAACCAGTAAGTGAAGATTGGTGTAGACAGGCTTGTTTAGATGATTGTCTTTGTGGAGCTGCTTCTTTCAATGAAGGGGCATGTTCCAAGAAGAACCTACCTCTCTTTAATGGAAGGTTTGATTTATCATTCCAAGGGAAAGCTCTAATCAAAGTAAGAAAAGATAATTCTTCTTCTCTGATTCCTAGAGAAATTAATCCAAAGAATGATAAATCAAAATTATTTATTAGTGGTTTGATACTTATGGCCACTTCAATATTCTTGTGGTTGCTCTTGATAGTGGCAGTTTATCTGGTTTTATATTGGTTTCGCCGTAATAATCAAAAGCTACCTAAAAGTAGTCAATTTGGGCCAATCATGAATCTTAAAAGTTTCACTTATGAAGAGTTATGGGAAGGAACCAATGGATTCTCAGAAGAATTGGGTCGTGGTGCATTTTCTGTTGTATACAAAGGTGTTTTGCCAAACCATCCAAAGAACCTTGTTGCTGTTAAGAAACTAAAATTGCTGAATGACAGTGATAAGGAATTTGAAGCGGAAGTGAGTGCAATTAGTCAAACACACCATAGGAATCTGGTAAAACTTTTGGGATTCTGCAATGAAGGAGAGCATAGGCTACTTGTTTATGAATACATGAGTAAGGGAACTTTAGCAAATTTTCTTTTTGAAGGCCAAAGGCTAAGTTGGTATCAAAGAGTGCAAATTGCAATAGGAACAGCTAAAGGGCTCTTGTACTTGCATGAAGAGTGCAACACTCAGATCATACACTGTGATATCAAACCTCAAAATGTCTTGCTTGATGACTCTTACACAGCTAAAATTTCAGACTTTGGTTTAGCAAAGCTCTTGAAGATTGACCAGGCCGTAACTACAACAGCAATAAGAGGAACTAAAGGGTATGTTGCTGCTGAGTGGTTCAAAAACAAGCCAATCACCATGAAGGTGGATGTTTACAGCTTTGGAGTTATGTTACTGGAGCTTATTTGTTGCAGAAAGAATTATGACAGTAATGTTGAAGATGAGATTAAGATGGTACTAATAGATTGGGCATGTGATTGCTTTCACTACAGGAGATTTGACTTGTTAGTGGAAGATGATAAGGAAGCTTTGAGTGACATAGAAAGGGTAGAAAAGTATGTGCGAATCAGTATTTGGTGCACTCAAGATGATCCATTAGCAAGACCCACCATGAAGCAAGTGGTACAAACGCTTGAAGGATTCATGGATGTGCCAAATCCCTTTGTTCTACAATCTGTTACAAGTTAAGGGTAAGCCTTCAATCATCATGAATGGTATTTATGCTTTTGGTAAATTAAAAAACTGAGTATGTCAGTGGTTATGCATGTTCTCTTCCTTTATTCTGTTTTCCTGAATATAGTGAAAATAAAGAGTTGCATATTACATACATTCACGCATGTGTTGTAAAGTTCGAACCTTTATACTGTAATTCAATAAAAAAAAAAAAAGGATTTAAAACCCCAAACCTTTTTATTGAAGGCTTGCTCTTCCTCTTTTCATATTATAATTCAATACAAGAGTTGGCCTCCTAAAATGAGGCCATCACTTTGAAAGTTTAGTTCTATTTAAATGTAAACACTTGACACTTGACACAACACACACCCTATGTATCATAAAACCATGAAATGTGTTTGTATTTGCAGGTTATTTTGTCAGCTTATATAATGCTTGGCAGCGGTCAATGATGCTGGTCTTTTTCTTCAAAGGAAGCAATAGCCTGTTTGCATTGGTTTGGAAGCAAGAGTTTCGAAATCTTTTTTTTTTTTGGTTTTCTTCTGTTGGGCCTGCTAGATGTGTTTATGGTGTGTCCTTCTTGTATGTTGGGCTTTGTGTAGTCTAGTTGAGTATTGTCCTAGTTTCTTGTCCTATCATTTTATGCAAATATCATGTCACGTATCTTCAATTGGATTCAGAATCCTTGAATATGATATAGTCTTGTAGTCATATAAAAAAATGTAAATATCTGTATTATTTTCTTGTTTTATCAAGAAATAAATAAATTTTGTCAACGCCTTCGTGACTCAATGGCATAAGCACCTTCTTTAAGTGTCTTTTATTTAGTAGTGAAGCAAATTAAATAATCAAACTATTCTTAGGCACTTCTGTAGTCTTATTTTTAGTTTCAAAAAATTTAGTTTAAATACTCTAGGCATTTTTAATCAAATTTTACCCCTAATAAAATAGTTATTTATTTTTAAAATAATCTCATTTTTTCATATTTATTTCTATTTAATAGAGTGTTTTATTCTAAGATAAATATAAAGTGATCTATTTAGGGATACTTTTGAAAAAAATAATGATTACACCTTAAAAAATTAAAAATGTCTTATATTTTTTAACATCAAATTCCTCAAAAAATGTTTTAAATTTAAAAAATTAACAAATTTCACATTCATAAAAGGCATTCTTAGCATCCATGACTAAATTATTTTCATAAAAAGGAATTTTTTTTAGGAAAAAAATTTTTTGGCCAAAAAATGGCTTTCCTCCAGCCAAAAGGATTTGGGGGAACGGCATTTAGTCCCAGAGAACTGGTTTAAGGTGAATAAAGTTCCAATAGATTGAAAAATGCTTACCAAGTCTCAATAATCTTTTGATAAAAAAGAAAAATACATCATTTGCCCTCCCTTTATAAGGCAGTAAGCTGATGTTATTTCATCCTCCCTTGACTACTTCTTACAATCGCATGTACTATCTATGCGTGCACCTTTTTTCTTCCCCTTCTTCTTTTGCCACCATAAATTTCAAAATTCTACGCTTCAATTTCTAGAAAAAATTTTAAAAAGTCTTTTATTTGAAATTGAAGGATAAAATTGTTATTAAATATCTATTTCACCACCTATAACTAATTTTTTTAAAAAAATATTTCACAAGTTATAAATTTTAACTTATAGTATATTTTGAATTTATAATTATATATTTTAAAAACTATATTTATGAGTACTTGGATTTATAACTTCTTATGTCTTGATTTACCCAAAAAAAAAGAACACTGATTTAATGTTGAAATTTCTTATAAGAATTTATTTGTTCAATTCCTAAGATTTACAACTACATTTCTTCAATTTGCAACTTATGATATCTTAATTTGCAATCGTGTTTCTTATTTTTAATTGCGAACATGTTATTTGACATAGAATTTTGCCGAGATTATTTCTCTAGTCAAAAGAATTTGCCACCACACTCGCACATTTACAACTTGTGATACCTTGAGGTGCAACTCCATTTCCTATATTTAATGATAATCATATGATTTGATATTGAATTTTCTCTTGAGGAATTATTTATTCAATCTTAGGGATTTGCAATTACACATATTTGCAACTTGTTATATCATGTCTTGCAACTCCATTCTTTTAATTAGAAACAAAGAATATTAGATAAATTTTCACTTAAAAAGTTATTTGTTCATGGATTTACAACTAAAGTTCCCTAATTTGCGACTTCTTATATCTCGGTTTGTAACTTCTTTTCATTAAAAAATACAATATTTTTCTTTGAGTTTTCTCTTCAAAAATTATTTATCTTTATCAATAGATAATTATCAGATTTTTTTTTTGAAAAGTAGTGTAAATGATACAATATAATAAATCTAAACAAAAATTGGATTTTAGCCCTATTAATCCCATTAAAATACGCAATTATAAATTCAAAATATACTATAGGCTATACAAAAATATTATATACAATATTCCCTAAAATAATAATTGGTCTAAATCATATTTTGGTTTTTTACGTAAGTAAGAAATAATATTTGTATTTTATTATGTAGTTTAGGGGACTTAATTGATATTAATTTTTCTATAGGATACTTATATGAAATAAAATATTACTTTTTGATATTTTTTGATAAAAAAATCAAATATGTTAAAAAGTAAAAAGACAATTTACAACAATATATGTTTCTCAACCAAAGCTCGAATGAGATAAACAAAATGCAGCAGTAACAAAAGAAACAAAAGCAAAACAAGAAATTAATAAATCTACTTTGTAATTAAGAACATTCAAGATCAAAGATCTATCTTGAAGAGCCCATAAAAGCTTATGATTATGGCAAATTATATAAAGAGGACATGATCTAGGGGAAATTGAAAAATTGCCATTGATAATCCAAGAGAGCATCAAGCGAAGACAAGTAAGACTAAAAAGTCTTGAATCTATTAAAGTTGACCGTTGCCAAAGAAAAGATTGTACCTCTTGTAAGTTATGCCAAATGGAAATGTGACAGAAGCTGAGTCTCTTTTACTTTTTAATCCAAATCTTCCATCCCTCACAATTAAGAAGGAAATGAGACAGAGGTAGGTTCTTAATTTAATTTCTTGAAGAAAGACATTGAGACAGCCCTGAGGTATAAGACCATTGACAACATTAGTTAAAAAGTGAACAGTGCTAGCAAATTCCATGATTACCTTATCAGGAAGGGAAGCGACTCCTTTGTGAAGGATTTCATCCCTTTTTTGCCTGATCAAATTTGGTAGACTAATGATTTGCAAAATTATATCAATTTGCCCTTCCCTGTATAAAGAAGGTAACTTAGAACATAACCAAGAGATCAAGCCAGTTTGGGTAATATCTAAAGATTTAATAGAGTTATAAAACTAAAGAGTTATAAAACTAAAGACTTCTAACAAAAGGACAAGAATAAAAAATATGATTTAGAGATTCATCCTCAAGACATCCAAACACAATGAGATGCAACACTGAGATGATGGTTTTGCAAAATATTTCCAATAAGCAAGGATGAATCAATTTCCAAATGAATAATAAATATTTTAGAGGCAGGTTCAAATTCCAAACAAAATTGAGGCCATAAGGATTTAGCACAGGAGAAACATCTAAGGGCGCTAACTAACTATTTCATCCCAGCTTCACAGTACAAGAGCCATCAGGACTAGCTGACCATATCAAATGATCTAGTTTATCACAAAAGAAGACAAGAGTTGATAATTTTATTAGTAATTTGACGATCATAAAGTTTACTAACAAGAGGAGCATTCCACTAAAAAGAGCTAGCATTTGCAAGAAGGATTTTTAGCGATAAGATCAGAGACCTTGGTGATACTCAAATGTGAAGAAATGTTCCCATGAAGCACTTTCCACCAATGACAATGATTGATTGGAATGTTTTTACCAAACCCTAAATTGTTTACAAATGATGTCTTCTACTTGCAACCCTTTCAAAACCAGGAGGAATTATAAGGTTTCTTCAATTTACAACCATTGATCACATCAACGTATTTAAGCTTCATTGTATTCGCAAACAAAGAGTCAAGTTCAGCTTTAAGTATTCTCCAAATCTGATTATTAAGAAGAGATAGGTGTAAAATGCAAATCCTTCTTGACTAAATGAATCTTCTTTTGATTTCCATTAAATCCCCAAAAGACATCAACCAATTTAGTATCAATAATGTTGTGAATGTATTTGGCAATCTTAGTGCAAGAAAGAATATAGATGTTGGAAGCTGAAAGAATTGATTTGACCAGTGTTAGTAGTGAAGCCTAAGATTGCAACTTGGCATTCCACGAATTAACTCTTCGATCAAATGAGTCTAATAATTGTTTGTAAATGAGGTATTTGTTGTGATCAACATCAACCTAAGTGCCGAGATACTTAGCAAGGGAGGGGGCAAATTGAAAACAAAAAGTGTTAATAAAACTCAAGATGTAAATTTATAGGGGTGTTAGGACTAAAAACAATATTAGACTTGTCCTTGTTAATGTCTAAAACTGACCAACGACAGTCTGAAACTGTGCACAAATTTTGCTTGGAGTCCATAGAAATCTTGATTCCTTTTAGGTAGCCTTGCCTTTCCTTAGAAACTAACAAACCAAAAGAATATTCGAAGCAAGGACAAACAGATAGGGAGAAAGACGATCACCTTACCTTATGCCATTTGAGCGATGAAGAGGGCACTCAACTTACCATTGAAGTTGATATGATATTGAACAATGCAAACATATTGCAAGATGAGGTTCACCATTTTTCTTCGAGAAATTCATCTTACAAAGTATAGCTTTAGTAAAAGTCCAAGAGCTTCCATCAAAAGCTTTAGTAAAGTCAATTTTGAGTACATCAAGCTTCTTCCTACCATTCCTAGCTATATGGATTTGGTGCATAAGATCATTAGCCAGCATAATGTTGTTTGAAATGACACGACCTTTTAAATAAGCACTTTAAAAAGGTGAGATCTGCCCAGGCAAGACTGCTTCGAGGAGATTGCAGAGAATTTTGGAAATGACCTTATAGTAGACATTATATAAACTGATTGGCCTTAAATCCTTCAGAGATTGAGAATTATGTTGAACTCTAGTTTTGATAATTATAAAATAGAGAAGATTTTATTTAACAGAAAAATTTATTAGTGCTTATTGGCAATTAAAGGTAATTGGACTAAGATGCTTTGAACTTTGCGTCTCTAATTCTTCCTTATCCTTATACCATTTTATTTTACTTATACCGGAATAAGTTGGAATCTCCTAAATTTCTAAGTCTTCATACTATGGTATTCTTTCTAAGTTAAGTACTTGATTTCTCTCAGAATATTTCTTGAGTCTAATTCATTCCTTACCTTAAGTTTTTTTAGAAGCATTTCAGTTGAATATAATCTCTCATTCACCATCTTTGAACACTGAGGCTTCTCTATCTATGTTATTCCTTTATATCAAAATAATTGTGTTTATACCAATATAATGATCTCTTATTCCCATATAAGCCCATACACTGGTAAAAATATATTTATTCCTTCAGTCTTTATACCAGTATAGGTATTTATTATACCTGAACAGTGGCTTCATTCCCTACCAATATTGTAACTTTTATTCTTAAAGCTTCACTTTATACCACTATTCTGGTACAACCATGTTATTTGGATATAGCCATTTTATATGGGTATAAACATGCTTATTGGGGTACAGCTTATATCTATTCTATATAGTGCACTGTCTTTTATGAAAAGCAATTCCAATACAATTATACCTAAACAACAACTTAACACTTCTTCTCAAAATGTTCTTGTTTATACTAGTATAGTAAACATTTACACCGACACAAATA